GTTTTTTTTTTTTTTTTTTTTTTTTTTTTTTTTTCTAAAGTATAAATGGGGTGTTTGCGTTTTTTTTTTTTTTTGGGGGGGGGGGGGGGGGGGGGGGGGGGGGGGGGGGGGGGGGGGGGGGGGGGGGGGGGGGGGGGGGGGGGGGGGAAATCAACCAGCATGGGCCGCTTTTGGAGGGTCTTCCTATCATCTCCAAAATTGGGTCCCTCCATGGATACAACAGGAAAAAAAGGAAAAAGGAAAGGAACTCGTACATCTCAGTCGAGATCGCAATGACGGGAGGGGTGCTCGCGGCTGCCATGGCAGAGCAGATCCCCACTTCCCCCCGCTCGAGTCTGCGCTGGCAGCGCGGCACTCTGCTCCGCCGCTCGAGAGGGGTGCTCACGGCTGCGATGGTGCGGGGACAGCGCAGCTCTCCGCTCCGGCGCTCGAGAGGGGCGGGAAGATCTCAAGAAGGCGGGAAACAACTCACCTTGTGCAACCCAACTTCTTCCTCACGTTATACTGCTCCGAAAAGGCGGGAAAAACATTTCTCGACCAAAGTATACGCGCGCGAGAGAGAGAGAGAGAGAGAGAGAGAGAGAGAGAATAAAACTTGCAAAAGAGAGACTCTGAGCACAGGAGAGAGAGAGAGAGAGAGAGAGAGAGAGAGAGAGAGAGAGAGAGAGAGAGAGCGCCTGCTGGGTGGATATCATGTGAGCTCTCTCTTGTTTGTTGTCAGCCAGAGGTCTCCCGCGCACAGCGTTTACCTCTCTCTTTCCCCCCCCTTTTCCCGCCGCTCCCGCTTTCTCTCAGTCGCGGCAGCTTCTACCGGTAGGTACTCCATCTCCGTCTGCACGAAGCGAAGCGAGACGTAAGTCAACTCATCAACTCCATATCCAGCCATGGAGCGCTCCAGCTTGGCGGCTATGGCTTCCATCGTCATCGTCCTGATGTTGTCCTGTCAGCTGCTTTGCCTTCCGTCGGCTAGGGCGTCTACGTATCAAATGGGCGCAGCACGAGATCGATCAGCAACTTTCGCTAACGCTGCCGATGATGATACCTCCGACACGAAGGATGCTGATCAGGATTGCCCCGTGCAATTCACGCCGCAAGTCTTCGCTGGAGTACGAGAACTCTGTCGTCATGGCCATGGCGGCGATGGCGGCGACGGCGATTTGTGCTGTGAGGCTATCCAGGACGTAGCAATGAACGTAATGACTTATGGCGCCACGTGCAAGGACAACATGCTCGGGGCCTTCGAGGCCTACACAGCTGTCCCTTCGCAGACGGTGTCCAGGTGCCTGAGCGTGGAGGGAAGAAGTGTTCTCGATCTGTTTGCAGACACGTCAGCAGAGGCATCCACGTCAGCAGAGGCATCCACGTCGTCAGAGGGATCCACGTCAGCAGACGGAGCATCGTCAGCAGAGGTGTCCGCGTCCGCACAGGCATCCACGTCAGCGGTTGAAGCTATGGCTTCTGAGTCGTTGGCGGCGCCGCTCATCCCCCAAGGATCAATCTTTTGAAGATCCGCCGCGATGGACGAAAGAATGAATAAGCGCGCTGCGTTGAATAGGATAGCAGAGGAGGAGGAGGAGGAGGAGGAGGAAAGAGGAGAGAGATGTTGGATGCGCCATCTGTTATATGAATGTGATGACAGAGGACGAGGAGGAGGAGGAGGAGGGGGAGGAAGGGGAGGAGGAGGAGGAGGTCGTGAAGGAGGACGAGGACGAGGACGAGGAGGAGGAGATCTAACTTGTCTTGGCTTTTCACGTGCGCGCTCGTGATGCGCCACGTGTTGTACCAATGGGAATGGCAGAGGAGAAGGAGTAGGAGGAGGACATATCTCTCTCTTCCCTGTTGATGTTGTGGCTTTTCCTGTGCGCGCCATCGGTGCGCCGCGTGCTATAACCTCTAGGCGCTTCGCTTGGCTCTGACTGAGCGCAAGAAGAGCTGGGTATTTACGAACCCTTCTTTTTTTTCTTGTTTTTGAAAAGGGCGAATTGACTTTTTTCGCCCTTGCCGCGCACGTGTCCTCGGGAGTCGGGGCAAAACCAAAAACCAAAAAGACCCGAAGAATCTGACGTCAGCCGTTGATCTCGTTGAAGATCGAATGCACGTCAGCCGTTGGTCTGGATCAAGAAGGCGAATGCACACCTGTTGGTTCCCGAATATACAAAGAAGGACAGGGCGTGAACCTGGCCACTTTTTAGGACGGGTTCATGCCTTCTGAGCGCCCGTCGTCTAGTGGAAAGGAGAGTTGGGGAGGGGCAATTTCAAATGACGGAAGCGCCAGGCGGCTAAAGCTTGACGGTTGCCTACCATAGTCAGGCACGGCGTCACTGCGCGCCAATGAACGATAGTAGTTGCAGTTAATTGGCTTCCAATTGAGAGAAAAATCGACCTGGGAGCATTCATCATTTAGAGTGCGTCGGGGAATAATCTAACCCCGCCCTTCTCTCTCTCTCTCTCTCTCTCTCTCTCTCTCTCTCTCTCTCTCT